AAGAAATACAAAGTGTTCAATATCAAATGGTTTCCATGCCAGAGTGCTCTGACGCTAAGGTTTTTGAACTAATTTTCTCTTCATCATTTTTCTTGTAGTTCATTTCTCTTACAGATAGACAATGGTGCTTTAACTAATAAATAAGGTGTACGTATAAAGTTAATTAAGGTATTTAATTTTCCATAAATTTCAACACTTGATGTTGAAATTGATTTTGTTAAGGTTGCCCGACTTCTTTATACAAATTCTGGTGCTGGCATCTTGGCACTCAGCTCAGATGGTATTCAAAAATTATGGAAATTGTCTTACAATGAACAAAATCCAAGCAGAAAGGTAGTGAATATATTAAGAGTTTTTTGTTTTGTTTTTTTTTTTTTGTTTTTTTTTGTTTTTTTTTTTGTTTTTTTGTTTTTGTTTTTGTTTTTGCTATGCCATTTATGTTAATGTCTTGCATTTGTTTGACAAATGAGTATCTAAAGTCTCTGGTGCCTAAAGGCCACTGCCAATCCACAGAATTGGCAACCAAACAGTGGTCCTCCTATGATTAATGATGTGTCAGGTGTCAACCTAGAGGAAGTAGTTCCTTGCATAGCCCTTTCGAACGACGACTCTTATGTTGTGTCAGCTGTTGGTGGGAAGGTTTCATTGTTTAACATCATGACAAGTGAGGTATGACTAGCGAACAAGTTTAACTCTTAATTACCACATTTGGCTTTATAAATGACCATGTGCGCGATTTCTATAATGTATATGTGATGTAGGTATTGAAAACAATCACGTCCTTGCCATCTGCATCAACTTTCTTAGCTTTTCATCCTCATGACAACAACATTATTGCAATTGGTACGGAGAAATCATCTATATGTATATATGATTGGGAAAATGAGGTAAGTCCTCTATGAGTCTATGACATATCATATCTTATTATATTACATTATATGTATGATAACTTAACAATGTATTGATTTAATTAATTTTATATATAGGAATTGATCGAACTTGGAAAGCATCGGAAACCTATCACTGGTTTAGCATTCTCTATCAAACATAAAATGTTGGTTTCAGCAGATGCTGATGCCCAGGTAAGCATATATAGGTCAATTATTAGAGAAGGAATGATAAACAACTATGGCATGATTCCTTTAATTAACAGTACATTATAGTGGAACATACCATGACTAATCATGTAGGGACATAGCAACAAGTTTTTTTTATTGTAAATTTATGTATTCTGTAGAAACTTCAAGAAGGTTCCAAACTGACCAAAGATTTGTGCTTTCTACATACTCTGTGCATACCAAAATTTATTTTAACAAAATATTAATTGGTTTCAGCAGCTGATGCCCAGGTAAGCATATATATATATATATGTCAATTCGAAAAGGAATAATAAACGGCACAACTATGGCATCATCCCTTCAATCCCTCAATTAACAGTACAGTACAATATGGAACATACCATGATTATCTAATCATGTAGGACATATATAGCAATAATTTTTTTTATTGTAAATTTATGTATTTTGTAGAAACTTCAAGAAGGTTCCAAACTGACCAAAGATTTGTGCATGCCAAAATTTATTTTTAACAAAATATTAACTGGAAACCAAGGTTAGTAGATTATTACAACCTTCTTTTTTTTTTTTTTCAGCTTTGTACGTGGAACACTAATTTGTGGAAAAAGATAGGATCAATTAGCATCCAGTTGCCTGGTAGTGAAGTGCCTTCAGGAGGTGAGACACAAGTGATGTTCCATGCTGACCAACTCCACTTACTAGTTACACATGAAACGCAATTGGCAATATATGATGCATTTAAGATGGAACTCATACACCAGGTAAAACTAACATGTTTTCTCAAATCTTGAAATATGCTCATGAAGACTATATAGGGTTTAAATTTGGAGTATGCATGCTTGTTACAGTGGATTCCATGTGTTTCCCTTTCTACGCGGATCTCTTCTGCTACATACTCCTGCAACAGCCAACTAATTTATGCATCCTTCATTGATGGAAACATTGGAGTGCTTGATGCCAATAAGCTAATACTGAAATGCCGTATTGTTCCATCTGCTTATTTACCTCATCAGCTTGTATTGAATGGGTAAGAACACCTTCTAAGTCGAATATTTTGTGTCACAACTTTTGTTTAAGATTAGAATACTATTCTTTTCCTTAATGAAATGTTAACTTGTGGATTAACTTGTGTATGTTATATATTATTATTGTAGAAGCGAGGATGTGTATCCACTTGTGATTGCAGCGCATCCACATGAAGCCAACCAATTTGCAGTTGGATTGACAGACGGATCTATTGAAGTCATAGAACTATTAGAACCTCAGGGGAATTGGCAAGTATCTCCGCCGGTAGATGATGGGATGCTAAATGGTAGATCGGTATGGCAGGTTCTTCGTCGATCATTTTTTGCCATGGTTTATCTGTGTGGGTGTTATTCAAATGATTCAAACTCGTGACCAGAATCAATGTGGATGCATTTATGCAGTGCTTTTAAGCAATATAATGTTGCTCAGCTCAGTGGTTTTAATTTAATTTACAAGAGTATTTGAACGCGTGGTTTGCAGTGAGTCGTACTGGAAGTGGAATGTTTGTATTTGATCTTTAATGTTTGAATTTGTATTTATTTCACTCCCCAAACCAAACTTATGGACTGTCCAATTTCATTCTTAATGTTATACTTTGATTTTCATCGAGTCCCTCCATCTTTATTCCATCCAATGCAAATTACTTAGGCAATTTCAATGTATGCTAATTTTTCACATTGATGAGTAGAATATGGAAGCAGGATTAAAGCAGAACAGTATTGAAGCACTCGGTGCTAGCTCTGAGTCCTTCACAGCAACTGCAGAAAGCCTGCAAACAGATGAACAGAGAAGAAAAAACAAGTTTGATCAAATAAAACACAAAAGCAATTGCAAGACTTCAATAGTTCAAAAGAACATGTGCAAATGCATTCTATGTGCACTGAACTCTATTTTCCAAAATTTATTCATGCACTCACTCAAAAATATATTCCCAAATTAAGTAGTTGGGGTATGAGTGTGAGTAATTAGGTAGTGGACGGTGATATGACTCATTAGTCCCTTCTTTCTACTCAATTGTTGCTTTTTAGGTAGTGGACCTTTTGTTTTCTTCAATGCACCACTTGTCTTCAACTTTAAATTGGCGCCCACCCATGTTTCCCAATTCTATTAAATTTAATTAAGAGTATGAATATAAAAATATAAATTTGAAATAGACTTTTTGTTTATCTTTATTGGACGTTTGGGATTATCCCAATTAATATGATTAAATCTAGAAAGGTAATGTGTGATTTTAGAAATGTATGATTATCTAAAGAAACGCATTGATTACTGTACTCAACTCCGGTAGTTTAGCTTGTTCATATACATACTTTTCTAAATCTTTTTTCTAATTAGTTCCCTACTGTATGTTTCTGAGTAATACAAATTCCAACCATATCAAAAAAAGAAAAAATGCAATAACATTCTCATAATTATTACAATACATTTGAATACACTTATTAGTACATTCGTTAATAATTAATAGTGTACACATGCAAATGGAATATCATATATCTAGATACACGCCCGCATGGGTAGCTCAACTGGTCATAGAGGTGAAACTTTGGAATGATGACCAGGGATCGAGTCTCACCAGCGGTAGTGTGGGAGCAACCTCTCAAAGTGAGGGCTTTGAGGGGGGCTAAGTGAGGGGGGCTTCTTGTGCGCAGTGAGCACCGATTTACATCCTCCCAAATGCTCTGTCGGGCCGGGGTGTGGGGGGCCCAACCCTTAGGGTTGGGGTTCAGCCTTTTTGTTGGAATGATATATCTAGATACACTGTTAATTATATGTGGATTTACTATATATTAAGTGTTTAAAAAAAATATATTTGTATTTGCACTTATAATTCTTAAAATATTTAGAGTACGGAAATATTTATTTTTATGACTTATTAAAAGTTAATTTTACAATCCATTTATATTTGTGTTATAATTTATGAATTAAAAATGTAATTTTAATTTATCACATATAAATAATAAACAAAAATTGTTCCTAAATAATTTGAACGTTGCAAATTGAATTCTGATTTATTTTCAACACTCTCGGAGTAATAATTAAGTAGTCGTCCATGGATCGAGTCTCACCAGCGGCAGTGTGGGAGCAACCTCTCAAAGTGAGAGGGCTCCTTGTGCACAGTGAGCATCGGTCTAACCTCTGTGATTAATGTTCAGTTGAGTCATCATAATTTACATCCTCCCAAATACTCTGTCGGGTCAGAGTGTGGAGGGCTTTTAGGGTTAGGGTTCAGCCTTTTTGGAAGAATGATTAAGACCCAACCGTAGTGCTTTTGCTTTCTTCTTTTATTTATTTTTTTGAAAACCCACCAGTTGTCTTCAACTTTTGAGGTGGAATGGCTCCCACCCATGTGATCCAATTCCAAGAATTCTTGGGAGTTGACTGCTGAGACGACTTAAGCAATTCAAGTAACGCCTACCTGTTTGTATTCTTAACTACCTTATTAGTTTGTTGTTCATATGCTTTTGATTCTCTACTCTAATTATACTTCCCTCGGATCTATGTTTCTGAGGAACCCAATTTCCGGCCATATCAAATAAATTTATGGCTTGATGGCTTCTACCTCTTCTACTCCTTTTCAATCTGTCCGCAAAAAAGAGTATGATGTTTTCTTGAGTTTTAGAGGTGAAGATACTCGAAAGACTTTTGTGGATCACCTTTACAAAGAGCTACAACAGAAAGGAATTCGCACTTTCAAAGACGATGAGGGATTGGAGAAAGGACAGCGTATTGAGAAGTTGCTACAAATTATTAAAGAATCACAATTTGCAGTTGTTGTGTTCTCCAAAGACTATGCATCAGCGAAATGGTGTTTGGAAGAAATTGCAGCAATTATGGAATGCCAACAACAGTACGGCGAGGAAATTGTGATACCCATTTTCTATGATGTGGAGCCTTCAGTTGTGCGCAATCAAACTGAAAGTTTTGCCGAATCATTTAAGAGACATGAAGAAGAGAATACAGAGAAGGCGAAGGTGGAAAGATGGAAGGAAGCGTTGAAAAAAGCTGGAGAAATCTCAGGGTATCATCTGCAGAATGACTTCAATGGGTACATATGCTTTCGATCAACTTCTTCTTCCTCTGTTCCTTCATTTTTTTACACGTGACGTTTGCTTTAGTTTTTTACTACTGGTATTAAAGTTTTATTTATTTATTTAATGCGAGTAGTGTTACTATCTAGTTTTTAAGAAAGAACAAGTAGTAAAAAAATTATTTTCTCCATTCCTATTACAATTTACAGACTTTAATAAGTTCATATCATTATCAAAATGTGCAATTATACACATTAATTCACGATTTTAGTGTATCCCACCGCGTTAGCCGGTTACTCTTTCGGTAATCGTGAAGTGATGTGTTTAATTAAGTTTTATAAAAGTTTATGAATCTAATTGAAGTGCTGGAACCTATTTGTCCATTTTCCTATAATAATATAATGTTCTAAGTTCTATCATAATAATAATTTAATTATAAATATATTTGAATAGGAAAATGCTATGTGTACTCCTACACACAAAAAAACCCTTCACGTAGTCACTTGTATTGGGACCATGTAAAGAGGAACTTATTAAATCCCGCCACATCAAGGAGTAAGATTATGGAGTACATATAGTACAACTGAATATTACTAGATGATTACGTTAGTTTACTATTGTTAAAAGTGTTATGAATTCAATCTCTCATGCAATGTTGCAAAACACGCTAGGCGCCCCCTAAGCGGCAAGGGGGCGCCTAGCGCCTAGGGTGCCGATTTTTTTTAATTTTTTTTAAATTTTTTTTAATTAAAAATAAAATTAAAAATTAAAATTTTATTAAAATTTAGTAATAAAACATAAAGTTTCCATAGTTATTTCTTAGAAACTACTTACGAGAGTGGTTGTAAAATTGTTCAAAAGATTGTTTAAAACATCTAAATACATTAAAAACTAAAATTAAGAGCTATAGAAGCATTTTTTTGAGAAATTAGTGGACCAAACCACCTTCGGCTGTTTGCGGTGGATAGATCTCAAAAAAATACGCGATTTGAAAAAAAAATTGTCCAAATCGGACAACCGAGTCAAAAGTTATGCCTTTCGAAACTTTTTCGACAATTTCAAAAAAAAAAAAAAAAAAAAACCGTCGAACCGGCCGGCCGCGGAGGAGGCCGCCGAGGCCATTCCTCGCGGCCTCCTCCTAGCGCCTAGCGCCTAGGCGCTATTTTTGCAACACTGCTCTCATGAGAGGCACAAAATAGTCTTTTAAAACTTGGTTAGTAGTCATGTATAGTATGATGACACTTTTATTACTAATTTACTACTCCAAATGTGTGGTTAGAGCATTGATTTTTTTGGTTGAAAAAGATTGAGAAAGTATAAAACATATATTACTTTGTAAAAAATTATGAGTTTTTTTTTTTTTTTTTTTTTTTTTTTTTTTTTTTTTTTTCTTTTTTTAGGTTAGTAGCCAAGTTTATAATTAAAAACAAATCTGCACACATGTATACTAACAGATTGCATTTGAGAGTATCATGTGAGAGAGATTAAATTAACAATATAATTTCTAAACAATTGGGGATCAATAGTGTTCAGATTTAAAGATACGGACCAAATTTTATAAAAAGTAATAATTGAGAAATTAAAAATGCATTTTAGCCCATTCATTGAGAATTGAAGAACACCTACAACTTCTTTGATGAAGTATGGAAATTTTACATTGATGTCTCATGGCTTTGGTGAATATAGAGGGATCTGTCCCATAATCTGAGTAGCATTGCTTGAATTCTATTAAGGCTAGCTGAGTATTCAATTGCATGTTTCAATTATTTAATTTGTGTTCAATATTGTCAGGTTCGAAGGAAAATGTGTCGAAAAAGTTACTCACGACATATTTAATCGAGTGAATCTCTGCACTCAAGCCTCCTCAACAGTCCTTCAAGACAATTTCGTGGGATTGGAAACTAGGGTTGGCTATGTGGGTAACTTGTTGACACTAGAACCTGATGATGTTCAATTCATTGGGATTTGGGGTATGGGAGGTATTGGCAAGACAACAATTGCAAGGGCGGTCTTTAAGAAATTTTCAAGTCAATTTGATGGAGCTTGTTTTCTTGCCGATATTAGACAACATAAAATCATTGAATTGCAAAAGACCCTTTTGGAAACAATACAAAATGTGACGATGGTAAGCGATGAGTTTGATGGAATGGAGAAGATACAGAGATGGCTTGGAAGGAAAAAGGTTTTGATTGTTCTTGATGACGTAGACCATGTGGAACAATTACAGAATTTAGCCGGATCTTGTAATTGGTTTGGTAGGGGTAGTAGAGTGATTATAACTACAAGAGATGCGGGGGTATTGCGTTCCCATGGAGTTGATGAGAAGCATATATATGAAGTAGAAACATTGGGAAATGAGGAAGCTATTCAACTGTTCAGTTTGTTTGCATTTAAAAAGGAAGTTGCACCTGGTGTCAAAGAAATCTCGGGATTAATAGTGCATTATGCTATGGGTCTTCCATTAGCTCTCAAAGTTTTGGGCTCTTATCTTTGTGGACTAGAGGCTGATGAGTGGAAAAGCACTTTAGAGAAACTCAAGGACACCCCAAATGATGATATTCATGGGAAGCTTAAGATAAGTTTTGATAGACTAGATCCCAAAAACCAAAAAATCTTTTTACATATTGCATGTTTTTTCAGATACAAGGAGGAAGAATATGTAAAAGATGTGCTTAAAAGTTGTGATTTGCATCCGGTCATTGGTATGCGTGTGCTCATTGAAAGATCTCTCATATCAGTCGTGAAAGGAAGAATTGAGATGCACGATCTAATCCAAGATATGGGTTGGCATATTGCAAGAGAGGAGAAACCTAGGAGCAGGGTATGGGAGTTTGAGGATGATGCTGTATTATACAGAAAAATGGTAAGACATATATATGTATATTTCGATAGTAATTTGATGGATCCATGCTATCAAAGTTAATTAGTACTCGTAGTTAATTTTTCCTAACTTCCTAGCTAGCCAACTTAGCTTGAAGGTTTTTTTTATTTATTTTTATTTTTTTATTCTTTCAGGAGCTTACAGTTACTAAACACATAGAATGTATTTCACTCCCCTATAATACATATGGATTGTGGGTGCACAATTATGAGAATATTAGCAGTGCCTTTGAAGCTTTGAAGATACTCATAGTTAAACGGTCGTGGGAGGATACTAATTTTGATGGTGATGTCAAGGATAATTATGAGCTTCCTAGCAGCTTGAGGTGGCTTCATTTCCCACATTATCCTTTCCCTTCATTGCCCACAAGTTTTCATCTCTCTACCATGGATACGACTCCATTGGAGCTTGTTAGGCTTTGTCTGCGGGATAGTTCTCTTCAAAATTGTCGGATAACTAAGGTACGTATATGATTCTAACCTGCTCACTCACTACTGTGTTAAATTATTTTTCTACATTATATTATTTAATTAAATAGCTTAAATTAATTATTATTTGATCTCCATCTACTCTTGCACGCATGCATGCAGGAATTAAATAAACTTACCTATTTGGATCTTAGCTCTTCCGATTCTTTGCTAGAGACTCCAAATTTTGATATGATGCCGAATTTGGAAAAGTTATACCTTTCAAGTTGTAAGAAATTAATAGAGATTCATCCCTCTGTTGGACGTCTTGAGAAGCTTATTTTATTGAATTTAAGTTATTGCGGTAACCTAAATAAGCTTCCTAGCTTTATTCAACTTTCATCTCTTCAATTTCTCAAACTTGAGAATTGTTATTCATTAGAAAATTTTCCAGAAATCCAGAAAAGTATTCCACTTGTAGTGGAGCTTAAGTTAGAATTCATGCACATTACAGAACTCCCCTCATCCATCCGGCAACTATGTGGGCTCACCGAGTTACGCTTGATTCGGTGTGATGATCTTGTATCTCTTTCTGATGACTTATGTGAGTTGAAAAGCCTTAAAATTCTTGAGCTTGAAGATTGTCCCAAACTAAAGTCATTGCCAGAAAACCTGGGCAACTTGTCAAAATTGGAAGAGCTTCATATATTAAAAACTGCCATTTTTCAACTCCCATCTTCAATAACGCAGTTGAGCTCATTGAAAAGGCTACAGCTCTGGAAGTTTAAGACCATCGACAAAGGACTCCCTTCAGATCTTGGACAATGCTTGATCTCATTGGAATATTTGAATCTTCAAGGAAGCAATTTTAGTTATTTACCTGAAAGTTTCAGTCAACTTCCTCACCTTCAGTACCTTGACATCAGATATTGTGAAAAACTTAAAGAGTTGCCAGAACTCCCAAATGCTATAAGCGAACTATATGTGGATTTCCATTTTGCCTTTGGAAACGAGTCAATCAACGTAGATATGTTAGCAATCAAGAACCCCATGTTATATTCAGTCGTAATCTCCTCTTGCTGGGCTTATCGTAATTTGTTCAAAGGTGAAACCATTTTAGCTAAGAAGAGCATTCAATTTCCATTTCACAGAAAGACTCCTTTTAGTGTTAGCTACTCAACCGATTCATCATATTATCGGATTAAGGAGGAGTATTACACTCTTTTGAGGTCATTCAAATACCGACGATACGGGTCAAATAGGATCTCCTTCAATCTCAATCATCGTTGGTATAGTACACAATTTGTGGGAATTGCTGTATTTTTTGTCTCTTCTAAAGCTGATAAATGGGGACCACACTCGTACCAAGGCTTTGATGGCAGTAATCGTCATCATTGTGTGATTAAAGCCAAACTATCATCACATAATGATATTAAAAATGAAGATCTCCAAACAAAATGTGTGATAGCCGGATCAACTTACTACAATCATGACGGAATAGACAATTGCTTTGTGTACCTACCATTTAGTAGTTTGTGGCCTGAATCTAAACCTATGATGGGAGCAAATGATTATTCAAGATTCGAGGTGGAACTTGTGGATTTGAAAGCTTCAGCAGATTGGGGCATTAATTTATTGTATAAATGGTATATATATATTACAATTTTTCCTTCTTCTTCCCCATATTATTTACCTTGCTTTTTATCTTTTTAATGCTCTGTTTTACCAAAAAAAAAAAAAAAAAAAAAAAAAAAAACCTTTATAATGCGCTGTAGTAGGTATACTTTATTACTCCGTACTAGAAAACTTTTTTTTTTTTTTTTTTTTTTTTTACAGATTGTTTTAGTTTTCTGTTTTATTTAGGCTAGGACTGAATCCATAACAAGCATAATTATATAATTTTTACATTTAAATTGGCTGAATTAAAAAATGTGCTTTCAGCCCAATAGGAGCAACGGAGCATATGGCTAATTACCATAGGAGTGATTCAGGTACTCATACATTACCCCTTTTATACTATTATATATTATTTAATTTGGGTTATACTCCGTCTATATTAAGAATATTCATACTCTTTAACATTTTATATCAACACCTATGAAGTATTTAACAAATTAAAAGAAAAAAAAGTCCTTACAATGAACGTAACAATTATGCACTAATATTTTAGAAATTATTTTACTTAGGCAATACATAAAAGAATAAATGCTACCCCTCAACCCAGGGAGCGTTATGCTGTATAGTTGTAGATTCATAATTTCTATACCCTAGATTCATAATTTAAATACAGTAGATTCATAATTTCTAAACTGGACGATTTTGAAGAGAGAAACATTGTTAACAACAAGTGAAAAACAATTTTTTTAAAAAAATTAGAACGTACGACGCTGTTGTGGAAGGTGAGCGCGTTTCCAAAGCATAATTTGCCTCAACCCTATTTTAATTTGTTTCATTTGATACATACACATGTTATTTAATGGTCAAATAACTCTATTTTGGACAACCCCAACCAAGAGCAACCTAAGTTATTTTGTCTCTTTGTGGTCCTTTACCAGTTAGTGTCATAATAATGCGGGATTTACCTAGTGCACTATTACGTAATGATTGTGGGTATTCCTCGTTACCAAAAAAAAAAAAAAAAAAACTCTATTTGTTTTTTTCATATTTTTAGTAATTTCTTTTTTAATGTACAAATTTACATTTTTGTATTATTTGACATAAATTTTAATATAGTTTATAAGTATATGTTTTGTTACTGACAAATTAAATTGTAAATATAATAACTTGAGGAGGGAAGGAGTATTACACTATATCACTATGCTATTTTGTACATACATTTACATACACAGAAGCGCATAGATACATATGTACATATATGCATGTCTCTGATCTGTGTGTAAATTTTGTTTTGTACTCCATGAGTAAACTATTATATATATATATATATATATATATATATATATATATATATATATATATATATATCAAGTACTCTATCTTAACCTCGTTGATACCAGGACAACTCACAACTAATGATATTGGATGCTTGACCTTGTTGGAGTCAGAGATAGAGTACTTGAATCACGGTAGCAACAATTTTGTCAGTTTACCTGCATGTTATAGCCAACTTCTTAGTCTTCAATACCTTGACATCAGTGGTCGTGGAGAACTTGAAGAGCTACCAGAACTCCCAACTACTATAAGAGAACTATATGCAAATTCTAATTTGGCTTCTGAAAGCAACTTAGTGAAGCTAGCAACCAAGTACCCAAAATTATATTCTGTCTCATTCTCTCCTGGAGATAAAGAGGTTTCTGCTGTGGAGTTAGCTAGGAAGTTTGCTCATCATGAGCCTTTTCAAATCATGAGAGACTCTTCTTTCATTGTTACCTATCCTAGTGATGCATATTCAACCGATAGTGATGTCACGAAACGGTTCAAATATTCATCTCTTCGTTCAAATAAGATCTCCATTAGTCTTAAATCCTCCTGGCATAATCAAAGCTTCGTGGGATTTGTTGTGCGCTTTATTCTCAATTCATCTGATGATAGTATATGGAAATCATGCCCAGACGGTCGTCCTTTTAGATACAGTGAGGTCATAGCCCAGCTGGTACACAAAGATAATGAACAACTTCTCCAAACAAATTGTGTGATTGGCAGACTATGCGATGAAGATGTTGATGTATTCATGGATACACAAATCATATGCTTTGCCTACATACCATTTCTTAGTCTGTTTAACAATAAATTGAGAGCTATACCCAGTGATTATTTGGTATTTGAGGTGGCATTTGGGGATCCTGCATCGAATGTTTCAACAGATTGGAGTTGTGGTTTGTTATATCAAAATGATGAATCATTAAGTGAAGCATTATGGAGCAAAACTATAGCTACTTCCCATGATAATGGTGATTCATCAGGTACGTACTCATCATATTTCACCCTGGATGCATGCATGGTATGTAATTATACACACACACACACACTTATATATACAACCATGCATACACACATTCATGCATGCATATATAAATATTCCTTTGAACTAAAGTATATATTTTATATATTTTCATGTTAATAAAAAAGGTTAAAATGATAAATATTAGTTAATAAAATAACGCGCTCTAAATATACACATGAATCGCAGAAGAAAGTAATGAAGAAGCTCCATTGTTCGAAGAGACCCCTGTGTCCACGCCTGAGCCAGGTAAAAATATTGTTCTAATATAAATTCCCAATTACTTTATTACCCCTTCATATATTCATATTATTCAATATTCATATTATTCAATATTCATACTACATTAACATTTTGGGATAAAGTACAAATAAGTCACTGAACTATTTAGAAAACAGCAATTAAGCCATCGAATTCAAATAACCCTCAAATAAACCATTGAACTTGGAAAAAAAGAGCAAATAAGCCATTGAACTTAGAAAAAAAAAAAAGAGCAATTAACATTTTTAACAGGTTAACTCAGGTTTTTGTTGACTGGATTGTCAAATGTTTATTTTATTTACGTTTCTTTTATTCCACTTACATACTAATATATTTTAACATAATTATAATAAAAATAGTTTTATCTTGTAGAGATTTGATTAATTGAATTATTTATTATTATTATTATTTTTTCATTGAATCTTCTGTTTAAAAAATAATAATAATAAATAAATTAGATGTAGACAATTAAGACAAAACTATTTTGATTATAATTACTATGTAGGTGGATTATAATTAAAAACGTAAATAAAATAAACATTTGGCAATTCAGTCAGCAAAAACCTGAAGTTAACTTTTAAAAACGTTAATTGATCTTTTTCTCCCTAGTTCAATTGCTTATTTGATGGTTATTTGA